TCTGATTTTTTTGTTTTGCATGTTTTGTTAATAGTTCCTGATTATTTTAATGCCAGGTAGGAAAAAATCTGCTGAGCCGTTTTTGAATTTCATTTAGAAAATAATTTTTTTGCGGAAAAAAAAATAAAGCTAAGTAATTATATTTTTTTTAATACAACTCCAAGAATTAAAATTGTAACAAGTTTGCATATTTAGGTAAAAAACTTAAATGTGAAGACTATTATATTCACATACAGCCCGTTGTAACCTCTCTGGGTAGTTTGAATGGTTCTTGGAGACTTTGTATTTTTTCCATACCGAATTAAAATCAAAATGCACAGACTCCATTGCCTGTTCACTAAAGAAGCCCAAGGCCTGTTGCGTTTTATCACAGAAATCTTCGATATGAAAAAAAACTGCATGAACTTTAGGGGTTACACTAATTTCTAGTTCCAGGTAACTCTTCTTGAAGGCCGCAATAAAATTTTTAAAATCTGGATTTAAAACTTGACCAAAACATGATTTAACAACTACTTTAAAGTCTTCAAAGACTTTCACAAATTTTAGGCAGCCCAGGCTGCAATCTCGTCGTAAGACATCAATTTTATCTAAAAGTAAAAAAAGTTTTTTGCACGCGTTTCCCTTGAAAGCGGGACCGCCATGAGTTACTTCACGTTGAACATTTGAATGTTTTGCCCATGCCAAGGCTTCCTTTTCAAAATCTATTAACATATGCGTAAACAACGTATTAACAACGCCAAGCATTAGGTGTAGTTCCGGTGGAGGAATAATATTTAAAAACGTTTTATCTAAGGGAGTTGAGAAAAGCGGCGGATGAATGCAATTTTTGTATTCTTTTGCCTTCTCCTTTACAGCTCCCGCTTTAAGCCAAGCGGAATAATTTTGTAATGTGTTAGTAGTACTTCTTAAAGTGCCACGTTCGCAAAGTTTATCTTTTCTGGCGTAACACCATGTACAGGGGAAAAGACTGCTGTGCGACATGATGCCGATTAGAATATTTGCAAGTTTTAAATCATTGCAATTGTTCCTTCAAAATCGTTAATGTTAATTGCAGACCATAATTTTGACACATTTTCATAGTTTTCTTGTGAGCATTGCGCTAACCCAAGAATAAACAATTTTTTCACACCTGAGTCTTTAAATCGTTTAGCAGCTATTCCTTCCATGTACTCTTGTCGATGTTTTTCCAATTCCACATTTTCAGTTGATTGAATGGATAAACATATTTTTAAAAACCCTCCACCTCCATCTATTCCAAATTTCAAATGAACCTCAGATGATTGTCGATTTTCCTTAACGTATTCAATGAATCCATCAAGATCCTTGCAGAAAACTACAAGCTCTTTAGCATCAGTCGAAACCTTAGCCTTTATATTCACAAAATCAAAACACTTTATTCCAAAAAAATTATCGACGGAATGAATGTTATTTGAAATTTTCCTCTTCAAGTCGGGTTCGATAACTTTGCGGTTTTTAGTAGCTACTCTGATAACACTTGCTATTCCACAAGTTGTTTTTTGGCTAAGATTAAAATTTGTTTGTATTTTTAAAAAGTCATCTACTGATAGCAGTTGTTTTTTCTGAACGTTATCTTCAGTTGTCTTTGGATTAACAACAACGGTAAGAGGTTGTCCTCCCTTTGATTGAATCAGCGAAAGTGAAGTAGTTTTTAATTTATTTTTTTTATTAATGTTTTGTTTTACTAGTGAAGAAATGACCTGCTGTTGAAATTTTGATGTAGATTCTAATAGCTCCTTGTTTAAGTTATCAAATCTTGTTGAAAGATTACATTTATGTGTCTTTCCTCTTGCAATAACAGAAAAACAGGAACTACAGCGTTTTTCGAAACACGGTCGTTTAGGATTACCTAAATTTTAAAAAGAAATAGATACGTTGGTCTCAATTAATTAAGGGATCTTATACTTACAGGAGGTAGTAGTATTTAAACTTTCCACTAATATTCCTTTTCTTGGAGGTAAAATACCGTTTTTTGTAAAATTACCAATTTTAGGAGTTCTTGCAAGTTTACAAACATGACAATCACATTGAAAATGGGCATTAGATCTTGTAATTTTCTTGAGAGGTCGCAATTCAGAAAAAATTGGCAGTTGTATGCTTTTTTGGATTCCATTTTTTACGCGATATATATCTCTTTTACAACTACTACATAAAGCAAGTGGTAAACGATTATCGTGGACATCGTAATCAAACAGATTTTCTACTTCTTTTTTAAGTTTACCTTGTATCTTAATCATTACTTTAGTTTTTCCGAAACACAGTAAGCAAATCTTTAGTCGATTCTCATCATGAGTTCCTGCGTGGTCTTTGGACATCTTCAAGTAAGTACTTAAGAAAATCATACAGATTAAATGATAGATACAAAATCAATCTGACAGCTACATGACAGTTAGCGCCTACCAAGCTTTGCCGCTTGGAATCGCCAGTGTGCTTGTATATTTGGTTACAATACCTATTTATTATTAGGAAAAAGAAAAAAATACGGTTTTCTAAATAACGGCTCAGCAGATTTTTTCCTACCCGGCATTAAAATAATCAGGAACCATTAACAAAACATGTAAAACAAAAAAATTAGAGGTGCAAGCACCTTTGGGTTAAACTTAATCGAGGCTAGGCGTGTAGGAGATTAGCACATTTAAGCAACTGAAATTAACATAAATTTTAGGCTCAGATATGTCACTTTATTTTAAACTTGATTCTAATGAATTTGTAACTTAATTAGATTAATAATTTTTATAATTAACATTTTAATTTATAAATTAGTTTTATTCTAATTTTTGTTCTTAAATTTATGGTTTAAAATTCATGATAAAAGTTTGAAGCTGACACTTTGATGTTTAAAAAAACATTAAATTTAATCTGTAATTTTTGTTAAAAGGCCGACTATACTTTGTTAAACAGTCACGTTCGAACACTTCACCTAGTAAGTCGTATCGTATCGTTTTGCTCAAAACATACACGGCAAAACCCACAAATAATTACTCATTAAGTGCAAATAATTACTCATAAAGTGCAAATAAACTATAGTGTAATAACTACAGACCACCCTACGGTTAATTGGATGCTCTTCACGAGACAAACAAAAGAGGCTAAACAAGGGAGGAAAGGGCCATCTGCAAAATTTCGATAAGTAACCTTAGTAACTGCATGATCTAATACATAATTTGCTACACTAACGACGACAGGTACCTTTTAAAACTCTAAGTGAGGCACAATTCGCTTAAACACTAGTAAAATAAGAAAAAAAATAAAATAAACAAAGTGCCACAGTAACATTAGTAAGACAATAGTAACAAAACAACAAACAAACAAAAAAAACAAATCACAGAAATGACAAAGAAATAACAAACGAGCAAGTCAATAAACCCATTAATTTTAGATGGCAGCCCCAACAAAATAAAGTGTTTAAACTAAACGAGACCAAAAATAAACATTTGATACAATAAATTAAGAAAACCTTAACAAAAAAAAACACACAAACCGAATTCTAATGAATTTGGTAAACAAACAGAATATATAGTAGAAGTCAAAAAATACCTCTCAGCGGTAACTGCCTAATCGCATTAATTGCTACTGTTTAACAAGGAGATAGGATCGCAACGCGAACAGAAACAACAGCCGAGCTAAGACAAAAACTAAACAAACACTTACGCAATAACCTAGGAACATACCCTACGTCGAAGACGCAATAAAATAATTAAACAGTCGTTACGAACACATAACTAAACATATCAGACAAATCTATGCGTACTTAAACGACCAAGTCAAAAACGGCTTTTGGATAGGAGTGGAAACAATACCAGCCGCCTCGGACCTATTCAACGTCGCAATCGAAGTACACCACGAATAGGGCAGGAAAGACAAGATCTTCCCAGACAGAACGACAACTTCCCTACAATAGCAATACGCTATAGACGTGGTACAATTAGGTACCCATAACCACTACGACAGTATCTTAAAGGTATGGCCAAAATAGCGACTGGTACTAGAGCAATCGGCAATGGAAAATACACTAAACGCAATCAACGACAGGACTGAATTAGAGGTAAACAAGCAACTCGACAAGTACTTAATAGGCACACTAAATGTGAACGACAAGGAAGACAAGTCCCTACAGCTAACTAACAACTCCCCAACTTCAAATAGTAATCCCAAATGTTTGGAGTAATACTAATTTCCTGGTCTAGGGGGATTCCGCGTCCTACGCAGATTTAAGTCGGCGTAATTGTTCCCTTAAAACCAAAATGTCTGTCCCCCCCGTCCCTACCTCCTATTGTTCCTAACCAGCGTATAGCAACGGCCCGGGAATCCGGGAAAGGCTATTTGCTGGTTGCCTACGGTAACGGAGGCTTTTGCGAGGCTCGAGAGAGATGAGGCAATGGCGCCGGTTATATGTCTCTTATACTCAAACTCAGGAAGACGATACTTTGTTAAATTGGGTAATTAAATTAAAAAAAAAATATTATACAATACACTAAATGTAAAAAACAATTTTATTCAAAAGTTAAGTCACGTGGCTGTCATGGCTGACTTCGTATTATTGGTTTTTTTACCACGAATATTTGAAAATACGCCTGTGTGACTCTATCCCCTCGGGCGTGACGAGTCATGACGGTTCTTCAAACCCCCCTTCCCCTTCACCGTCACGAGATTTATGGACGGATCCTTTAGACGGCATACCACCTATTTTTTTACAATTTGGCTTGGTTAAGAATTTAATTGCAATTTAATGTGGTAGTGTACAGAATTTTGTCAATTTTCTAAATTAAATATTGCATGCATTTTAAAATAAAATAAACCAATAAAAATTAAAAATATCGAAATAAATTTGGTTTATAAAGGTTTTAAAAGTAGGCAATCCAAAAGTAAAAACTTTTCACATAAAATATTGATATATTAAACTTTTTTTTATATTTAATAACAAAATAACAAATTTCGCTGAAAAATACTGCAAAAAAAATTGATTATTAAATTTAACTTACCCCATAACACCACAGCTAATATATGACCATAATTTTGATTTGTATTCCAATGAATACATAAAACCTACTACGCCCAATGCAGATAAAAAATATATTGCAATTGCACTTTCCCTAAAATTAACATTAAAATAAATAGGGTGTTAAAATTTAAATGTAATAATATGAGGCTAATATAACAATAATAGGGGCCTCGAATAGCGCAGTGGGTTAGGCGACTATGCCGAGACAAACTGCGTCCGAAGGTATCGGGTTCGATCCCCGGTCACGGCCTTGGGTGTTGTGTGCGTTCAAGTCGATAGATGAGTCTAACTCATCGAGGCCGTGGTTCGGATTCCACGTTAAACAGTAGGTCCCGCTGAAGAACTGAACGTTATAGGCTTTGCCTGTAAGCTGTATACTCTACTTTTGTATAACAATAATATATAAATAAAGAAAAAACTGCACTATTTTTAGAGTTAATTTTAAATTTACAATTGTAGCTTTTTCAGAATAAAACTTAATCAAGCAGCTTCTAAGGCTAGGGTATATTAGATAAAGCTTAGAGGAACCAATTACCAAAAAAATATTTGAAAAATTCGTTATAGTTCGGGAATTCTCTCAAAAAATATTACTTTTTGTGGTACACTATTTTTAAATATTTAATATAGTATATATACAGTGTGTCCCGCTTTTCATAAATCCACCCTTATATCTCAGTTATTAATAAGGCGATTTTCTTTAAATTTGGGTGGTGATTGTATGTTGGAGAAATGAAATATTTGCCATAGATATTTTTTTATTTATCATTTCAGCATCCCCAAAAACCCTTTAATCCATATTCTCAAAATCTCAAAATATGATTATGGTAGAAACGAAAAATTAATTAATTTATCAAGACACTTTTTAATTTTTTACAACTTGTTTATTTAAGGGCAAAAACAAACCTAATTTTTTAAATTCTGGTCTCTTCAACATAACCCCCTTCCAAAAAAATACCCTTTTCAACAACTTTTCTTAACCGTTCACTCACTTTTCTTAAAGTTTAGGGAGTAATTTCTTGACACGCTTGCCTAATCCTGACGCATTCTCTGTTACGCGGCCAAGTGATATACACAAAAAAATCACAAGGGGTAATATCGAGCGATCTTTTGTAAAAAATGTAGAAAATTTTCTCCGTTGATGTTATCCAGGAGAAAGGGGCAACAATTCGTTTGTTTAATATGCCACACCACACGTTAACTTTTTGACTAAATTGGTTTTAACAATTAATTACAAAGTTGAGATTTTCAAATGCCCAATCTTTACAATTTTGAACAGACACCACACCTTGTGGTAAATAGTGCATCGTCAGTAAACATTATGTTCTTTAAAAAATATATATATCGTTAAAATTTAAACCTTCGTTCAAAATCACATTCGTAAATTTTACTACCAAATGGTGGTATAAGGGCAGTTGCGAGGACACTAAATTTAACCAAAAATAGAATATGGAGGAGTTTGAAGCGCAATATGATTAAGGCATTTAAGCCAAAATTTCTACAAACTCTCTTAGAATGTGATTTTGAACGAAGGTTTAAATTTTAACGATATATATTTTTTAAAGAACATAATGTTTACTGACGATGCACCATTTACCACAAGGTGTGGTGTCTGTTCAAAATTTTAAAGATTGGGCATTTGAAAATCCCAATTTGGGATTTTGGGACGTGAATTCTGCTAAAATGCGTTCGTCGTCTGGATATTGTCGTCGATTTAAATTGGTCTTCTTGGTCTTATTTTCAACACGGCTCCGGTTCTTGCAAACAATTTGTTGATGTCACCAACGGTTTTGTGCCAAATTTGCACACGATCATGATGACGCTGATTAAATATTCGAGAAACCATTATCACCAATCACCAACTTTTTCTTTAATTATGTCACATAATTTATGTGCCATTTTATTAATGCATTGATAAATGACACTGTTTAACTTTTAAAAATTCGTACGAATTACCAAATGTCAAACAAAAACTTAGGTTTCAATTTAATATATACGTGATTATCTCAAAATTCTTTAATTGCGTTATCTATGTTTGTAAAATATAAAAACTTTAATAAATACATTTCACTAATATTTTTTGAAAGGGCATGGCTTGGGGAATAATAATAAATTACTGGTCAAACACTTTATTAAATATTCTTAAAGAAATTGAAAAAAGAGTAGTTAGAATTTCACAGAGTTGAGGTTTTATTCACAGAGTTGATAATACACCTACATTGGAGAATATTAAGTAATATTAATTAAAGAAAAACATGTTTGTATTTCACTTTAAAGTATAAAAAAAGTATAAGACTGCCTTTTAATATAGAAAATCTAAGTATTGTACTTCCTTTACAGCGCCTAAACTAATTTCATAAATAAAATATTTTTCTAATACTATTTGAAACTAAATATGGAACTACTACATATTGGCTTAAAAGACGCAAATAAAGGACTAAACTAAGTTTTTATAAGATATATCCCTCAAAGATATACTGCATTCTGTTATTAATTATAGGTGTCGGAAGCAGAGCCACAATATCATTTGGTTCTACTAAAGAGACATCCTCTTTTGATGGGATAATAAATTTGTTGGAATTATTAATCCTTTGAAGGAACCTTATCAAATAATCACTGGGATGTTCCTTAGATTGAATTATTCCAATATAATGTTGAATGTAATTTTTTCGTCCAGTATATTTCACAATGACATAGTCACTCTGCTTATAGTCATATAAAGGAGTAGTGGGCAAAATATTTTCTTTATTGGATCTTCTACATCTCTTTATAGACCTGGCCGAAGGTAAGTCATCATCAGAGGAGCTGGTGTATATATTTTCAATGCAAAGCCTTTGCTTCAGATTCTGTGGGGTATGTGGTAAATCCAGATCTGTCAAATATGTTAAGAAAAGCTTTAATTAAGATTTATTACATTATATTAATTAGTTAGCGTTCATTTTAACTAAGATAGATAAATTATTATTATTACAATAGATATTAAGAAGTTTAATAAAAAAAGGATACTTTGCTTGGGTTCTGGTTCAGGCAAAACAAAATGCCCCATTGAGAAGTGGACACATTGTGAAGTTACTGGGCAGATGGCACATGAAAGTTTACGTATGTCTAAAAATGAATTGCCTTTGGCCCATGTTACCTCATGGCACAGTAGAACTCCTTTGTAAGCTGGTATCCTTTGAGGAACAAAATTTTGTACTTCATTTAACAAGCTTTCACTTAGATCAAGTTTAAAAATTGTAACTTTTTTTATTTCCTTTTGCAAATAATTTATAAATGAGTCAAAATTAGGAATATCTTTACCATGTGCCACCAGCCGATCTGCAGTTCTTTTAAGTACCCCCCCAATACCATCTGGTGCTCCTTTACCGTGGCCTTTCTCACTGTAGTGCCATCTTATACTATTGACTTCCAAAACTGAAGACAGATATTTTAAAATGAGGCAAAACATTTTTCTACTTCTATATTGTGTGGAGGGCCCATCACTCAAAAAATGTACATTTTTTAAATTAACTTCTTTGGAAACCTCTTTCAAAATTGGTTTTAGGTGTAGACAAATTGCAACAGAGTCATGGCGTAAGTTATCTGATATCGTGCAAAAGCACTTTTTAACTAATTCATTGTTTTTTTTGAAATATACAACAACAGTGTGCAGGCTAAGCTGGGGTTTAGATCCACAAAAATGGGCCGATTGGACTTCTTCACCATATTTACATGAGTAGTTCTCGGAGAAGTCCATATGTATAAGTGCTTCATTTTCAGCTAGATTTTGTTTTATAACTTTAATGGCATCAAACTGATGTTGAATGTTTAATATGTGCTGTAAAAATGGAACTACTTCTTTTTCTAGTAGGGAAAGAACGTTTCCTTTTGTACTTGATATTTTTTGCTTTATTGTAAACATTTTTTAGTTTGTCCCTTTATTACAACATCAGTAGATATTTTAGCCCACTGCTCATATGTAAGGGAGTCCTCAGGATGGAAACTACACGTTACAATTCTTTTGTTTTTACATTTTTCACAAATGCGACTCAGACATTTTTCTTTCAATGTTTCACTTTCACAACATAGACTTTTAACTAGATCCTGAGGACTGCATGGCATTATTACAGCACCGACTTTTAATTTTTTAATCAGAAGAGTAATGTTGGCATGCGTTTGGCAAAGGCAAGTGTCTCTAGCCTCTAAACGGGGCTGGATAATCCAAAAGGGTCGAAATCTGCAAAAAGTAACATAACTACTCGGGACGTTTTCAGAGATCATAAATTGCTTATGTAAATTTTTTAGTGTATCGTTCAGCAATCTTTTTTGCTTTTTTATACCCCCTTTTTTAATGTAATCATTTTTCCCAGGGCAAAGCCTGCTGTGTTCGTCTTTCTCTAAAAAATCTTTCACTTTTGATTTTATACTTAAAAATAGTTTTTGTTTCTTGCTGGTCTTTGGTGAATCTTTCCGAGCATATACTGATGCAGAATTTCGAAGATATTGTTCTTTCTTGTATTTTTTTACAACATTGCCAGATATCGAACGCCAAAATTTACGTTTTTCCCGCTCGTTCTTTATTTTTTTATAATTTATGGCCAATTGTTTCGACATTACTTCCGCAAAAATTAATTTATTCTTTACTTCTTTAGTAACAGTTTGTCCTTCAAGAACTAATTCAACATTTTTTGTTAGCGAACCTTTCATTTTCTTTTTATCTTTCATTCTTCTTAGTCGCATTTTGTATTTGCTTTTTTTTTTCTTTTCCTTGTTCAGATTGGATTCCAATATACTTATTTTATTCTTGAGTTTCCGTATAGTGAGCCTTCTGCGTAAATTTCCTGATCTTTTTCTGCCATCTGGTGTCTGGGGTGGAATTATAGGTGCCTGTGCATCTTCTAAATCACGAATAGGGGTGGTGGGAGGAGAATTTTCCTGCAGTCTTCTTTGAAGTAGTTGAGCTTCCTTATTTTTGTTGTAATATTTTTTACTGGCATCTTTCCAAGTTTTTCTTTTTGCACGTTTTGCTCTCTCTGATAGTTGACCAACCATTTTAATTTTGCCAGCTTGTTTTCGTAAATGATAGCTTTCTCTTGCCTTTCTTTTTTCTTCTTCATATTGCTCTGGGTTCTTTCTTCTGGCTTCTCGCAGTTTTCTCATGGCCTCTCTTTGCCTTTGCTTTTGTTTTTCATGATCACCCAGCTTTCTTTTCTTTTCACCATTTGTGGGTGTGCGTGCCATAACTAATTGCTGCTTTGAAATCCTTAAAAATAAAAAATATATCAACTCAGTGAAGTGCTCTCAACTCTGTGAAGACGATGTTTCACAGAGTTGAGCTTCACAAAGTTGAGAATTTTTAAGAAGTTTCTTATATATATCATTACACAGGGTTTTTTTTAGGATCCTCTAACTATATCATACTAAAACACCCAAAAACACTTTTATTGCACAAAATAAAAATCACTATTTTTGTTAACTTACCTTTATAAAAGGCTTCACAAAGATGAGAAATCTTTATGACCACGTGTCGAATTTAAAAAAAAACATAACCTATAAAATACACACACTTACTATCAGTGCTCCAAACAAACTGACATTGAAACTAAATATTCTTGCTTGTTGTCAAGCAGAATCCCCATTTGTTCATTTTTGTATGTAGTGCCATCTTTTGAATGATATATTAATTAATATGCCCTTCACAGAGTATGAGAATTACTTTGGTAACAGGAGTTTAAAAAGCTGCTAAAATGAATTTTAAAGGATTTTTATGTTTTTTTAGTGTAATTTAAACTAAAAAAAGTTTGTTCTTTTGCAAAATAAATTCAGAGTTTTAATTTTGTCATTAACTTAGAAGTTATCAGAGCTAAGTCATATTTGTTGGGGAGGAACAATCACAGAGTTGAGAAATTGGGTGTTTTTTTGATAATGTGACCACAAAATTTCAGATTTATAAAATTTCTAAGGATTTAAATTTTTGATGGTTTACTGAATATTAATAAACTAAGCACTTGCTGCCACATTAAATAAAAAATAAATTAGTTTTGGATTTTACTGAATTGGGAACGACCTATTAATGAATTTTGAGATAATCACCCATATATCACTGGTCAGCGTGATGTCTTAATAAATTAATTAATTTTTTTTCCTAGCCTAATCAGTTTTTGAGATTTTAAGAATATGGATTAAGGGGTTCTTGGGGATGCTGAATCTAAATATGACTGACAAAATTTTCTTAAATAAGCCCTAATATCCTTTTGCCAAAAAATCGACCCCCTTTTACCCCCCCCCACCGTATGCCAATGATAAATAAAAAAAATTTCTATGGCAAATATTTAATTCTCCAAATTAGAAGAAAATCGCATTATTAATAACTGAGATATAAGGGTAGATTTATAAAAAGCAGGACACACTGTATATTAATAATATTAATATAAGTAAACTATATAAAATAATCTTAAATTATTATTAAATATATGTGTAGATATTATCTACACACAGTAAGTTTAATGACGGAGTCAAGGAAAAATAATTAAGTGCTGGCTTACTTATTTTTTTGATATATCGTCTCCTTAATACTACAACTAGGTAACTCAAAATTTAAGAATTCAGTTCTATGTTATGAAATTCAATTTTATTTATTTATGCCACTACTAATTAATTAATAATTATAGCTCTCTTCACTGCAAGGTAAATGTGCCTTTGAAACAAATATATGTCACGCAAATCTTTACTAATGTTAGCACACAAATTTTAAAATCTGTTTATTTAATTATATGTTTTTTAAGTTAACTAGTTATAGTATTTAGGTAATCAATTAAGGTATAAAAAACAAAGTAAGCCAGGACCTAATCCTGTTTATCATTGGTAAGAGAAGAAAAACGTAGTCAAAAACGTGAATTTAAAAAAATGGACTTAATACAGTTGGGCTCTAGGATACAGATATTGAAATCGGCCAATCACTAATGCCTAGTGGTTACCATTATATACGAAAAACACAAATAATTTTAATAATATGCAATAGGAGTAGAAAAATATTATTATATCCCAAAACCCCTCGTGGATAAAACCGAGGTTAAAACCATTAAAGAGTTCTACTGTACACCTCCTAGAGACTGAAACGGTCGAGCATACTGTTGCGTGAGATGGGAAAGGTGTAGACAAGAAACTTACCTGTACCTGGGAGTTTTGAATTTTGCAAACCTATAGTGGATAGTGGAACCTATAGTGGATACTATAATAAGCAGAGACAGAAATTGGAGAGACATCTAATCGTTTTTCAGAAAAATAATGAACTGCAAAGAGGGAAAGGAATGAAATACAGCGGAAATAATTTGACAAAGTTTCTATCCGACGTATACCCAGCCACGGTCATTTGGTACCTTGAAGTGACAAGGTTCTAAGTGCAGCCGCCTTATCTGCAATATTTAATATTGTAGATTGATCACTTTGGCCTAAAACTGCAAATGATACGCTACTGACTACCTAACCTAACATTTCACGTTTTTTAAACGTATGTCGAAAAATCGGTTTTTGACATTCGACATTGATGACGCAATTACAAACATGGCCGCGACGACTATATGAGACATTTAAAAAATATATTTTATAGTCGCGGCCAAATCTGTAAGGGAGCACGCCATCAACGGCATATGACGTCAGCGTTAAGGTCTATTCATAAGTGCCCAGGCACAATCTTACGCTCGTTTATTGTTGACTGTTTATAGCGGTGGGGGGCTGTTAAGATGGAATTATAACATTATTGTTATAATCTACTACACTAACCAATTAGGAGTTTGTTACGGGCCATATGTACATACGGGACATATGTACATAACAAAAAATATTAAATTACCAGTCGTGTTTGTCATCAGAGCGAACTAGGTCACAGTTGGAGTCTAATTATTTCACCAAATTATGTCTAATCTAATAACTATTGGCGTTGCCAACAAGCTTTGTAACATTATTTGCACAATCCAGTGGTAGAATATGATAAACACATTGTATAAAATTATTTATAATAATCTGCAACAAACGATGCTTCCGGACGAAATGTCAAAATTCAAAAAACGTTAATATAAAATGACGGTGACCCAAATTACTAAGTAAGTAAATGGTTTTATTTTCATAATTTTGTAAAAAAGAATTTAAAACAGGAAAATTGTTACACTTCTTGGTAAACAATACGCAAATGATTGATATTTTTTATAACACATCAGAATAACGCCTTAAAGGAGCAAATTTAACGGCAGTAACTTTACAATTTAAAGTTGGTAATACTGACCTCATTATATCGCATTGATGACGTGCACCCATACAGATTTGGACGTGACTATAAAGTGAACTGTCAAAATCTAGGTCAATATACAATTGTTTATGGACATTTTTAAAACATCGTTGCCAAATACATATCCACAGCACCTTGATGAAAAAAATTGAATTTTTAAATTTAAAATAATTTATCAAAATGTTTTAAGCACTTTTTACTACAAATAACCTTTGAAGACACATGATGCCATTTTCAAAATTTCAAAAATGAAGAAGTTTACCTCTTCATGTCTCGGTGGATTATCGGGTAGGTTTTTTTTTCATAGACTCCCCTACAACGTACCAAGAGCGTCTCCACCATTAAAAAACTCATCGTGATAATGAAAGAGAATGAAAGAATGTAATTCTTATTCAAACCGTAACATAATTTGTGATAATTATTATTATATAATATAAATATTAACTAATTTGTTAAATTTCAATAAGCAACATCCAAATTTTGGTCTACATACATAGTTATGTTGTAAAAACGTATTATTTGTCTCTTGGGAAGTGTACAATAGTTTCTGGATTATAAAGTTTTTATTAGACAGGACAGTATTGGGACACCACAATTCATTACTTACTTAAACTTTCTTGTTTTATCCAGGAAAATTCCAAATGCTATTGATCCCACCATTCCCGTTAAAATCATACCAAATCCCATGGCTCCTGCATCACCTTGTGCACCCTATAAAAATAGGTTAAATTTGTATTCATTTAACTAGTCGAAAATTTAATATATATTTTTGCACTAATATATTTTAATTATTTAGATTGATACCTATAGCATTTTATAACTTTCATTCTCTAGTCGTACCTAGGGTACAACTTACAAAGTTGAATAAACATAAATGTTTGTTTTAGGTTAAGGTAAAAAGACAATTTTCATATATTATGTAATATTCAAAATCGACTTACTTATTTCATGAAAAAAAGTATAAAAAAATTGTTAGGTACAACTTTGTTATCTCAAACGTCTGTACATATTTAAAAAAAACTGTTAAATAGAACTTTATAATAAAAATAACTTTTTATTTAGGCTAAACCAATTATACAAAAATATGTGAAACTGACCAAAACTAAGGGGCAAACTCATAATTATAATTTAAAATAAACTTCCAATTAAAGTTTACTTTTAAATGTTAAATTCAACCATGTAAAACCGAATTAGGCATTTTAAAGTGAACTTTAATTTTAATAGTTGATCCTACTGTATATACAAGGTGTCCCTAAACTTATTGGCATACATTTAGGAAAAGATTGAGCAAGTAAAAATAAGACGAATACCTAAATAAATATTTTTTCCTAATTACTTATGTTTCCAAGATACAGGGTGATAAAGTGCTACTTATCATATCAGTTTTTTTTAATATAACTTCTACTGTGGTAGTCTTAGAAAGGTGATATTTTGCGAACAGTCACTTACTACCAAAACACATATTCACATATAATTACAATTGTTTGAGTGAACACAGTGTCGTAGAAACGGGTGAACACAGTGTCGTAGAAACGGGGGTTGCTTTAGCTTATTGTCCCATACAAACTTTGAGGTTAGATTTTCGTAAAATTTGATACAATTTTTAGATTACACAGTTCAGCTACCATTAAAAAGGTGTACTTCTCAAACTTCGATAAAATATACCGATATGATAAGTAACACTTTATCACCCTTTTAAACATACGTAATTAGGAAAAATATTTATTTAGATTTTCGTCTTATTTTGACTTGCTTAATCTGCTCCTTAAGTTCTGCCACTAAGTTTAGGGACACCTTATATTTATATATTTTGATACAGCCTGGATAACTACAGACCGATATCTCTGTCTTCAGGCGTATTAAAAACTTAAAACCTTTTTTAAAAAGGAAAACCGGTTTGGTTTTAGAGCCAAATATACAACTGGTGATGCTTTAAGTTGCTTTATTGATGAAATTATCAGGTGCATAGTGCTGTTGAGTGTCCTGCATGCATATTTACCTAAGCAAGGCGTTAAATTGCGTAAATTATGGAAAACTGCTTTTAGTGGAATGTGGGACGCTGGCCACGATATTTAACTTTCTGAGGGATAGGGATCAGTATTTGACCCTTACACACAGCGATGACGGAAATAAAAACACCATCTAATCAAAAAATATGGATATCCGCCTTCCACAAGGATCAGTACTCTTTATACTGTATACAAATGATTTATCTGAATATCTGGCCCCTTGTTGCAAAACAGTTCTGTATGCAGATGACACTTCACTTGCGATCTTAGACAAAAGTAGAAATACTCTTAAACATATGTGTATATTGAATCTGGATGAACTGGTTCAGTGACAATTCATTGTTCTTAAACATAAACAAGACAAACTACATTTAGTTTTTAGTTTTACAATAATCAAACAAAAGTTAATCTTTATCTTTCAATCTCTATTAACAAAATAGCTGTCAAAAGGACTCCTAATATAAAATTCTTTGGAGTTAATCTTGACGAAAATTTAAGTTTTATTTTAAATATTTGAGTAACCAACTATTTTCATTTACATATTTGTTAACAATTCAAAATTCAAAAACTTAATCAAAACTCTGACAATAGAACAAATCCAGGCTGAGATACGTGTTTGTCCATAGCCATAGTTAGAGTTATAACAGGCCTGATGTCAGGGGAATCATGTTATGGAGAAAATTCTGACTCGTGGGTGTGTTTCTATAGGGTTTTTCGAAAATAGTGTGCAATAATTGATCCTTTAAACGGTTTTTAAGGCCAAAAATAGAATAAAACTTTATATATCGGCAAATAGCCTCTAAGGGACCCACATCCAGAGCTGGGCACGAGTACTAATAAAAGTATTCATAAAATTTTAGGTACGAGTACTTACAATATTTATCCGTGAGTACTTTATTCTTAAGTACATTTTTAAAGATAGGTTACGGTTACGAGTAGTAATCTTTTGAAAAAAAATGTTAGTTAATATAATTGACAATTCCACTCCAGTAAATTTAAACCTATTAAAAACTGTCAAAAACAGAAATGCAAGATATAAAAATTTAGCGAAATTTTTTCTATTCACATTTTCCATAGTAACAGTTGTATTATTGTATGGAGAAATGCCAAAGTGACAGAAAATATACCACTCGGGGTAGTTTGTTAATTTGATACATTATATGGCTTTCTGCAAAGTATCGCAAAAACTATAGTTTTTGCGATACTTTGCAGAAAGCCATATATATAACTCAAGTTTCGAGAATTAAAAACTTTTCTTGTTTTGAAGTCTGTTGATTACTGTTATTGGCTCTGTTGTTATACTAAAAGCGTTTAATTCAATTGTTCCGAATTTTTCTATCGACGACCCGGAATATTCAATGAGGAAAATCGCTTACCGAAATCGATTCGCCGTGGTTGTGTTGTTTTAAACTATATATAGTCTATAGGTTTTATAACAAGTAAATGGTTTATAATTTTAGCTATTTACTTGTTATAAAGCTATAGGCTATAATATATTATATTATACTATGTATTATATAATTTACAGACTTCAAAACATAATGTTTCGACGCATGCGATATTTTGGCAAAAGTCATCAATATAATAAACGGAAATACTCTTATATATTACTCGTGAATTCCACGAGTATTTTTTATGAGTAAATTGAATCTGGTTTGTAAGTGCGAGTAATAAGTATTTCAAATAAAAAATTGTTATAATTAAAATGGTACTCGTACTCGGGAATATATGTATTTTTTTTATTTATATTTCTCGTAAAATATATTAAATTGAAAAAAAGACAATTTTTTTAATTTGAAATTTTTTAATTTATTTGTATTCAAAAATGGTGCATTTTATCGATGTTTAACAGGAGTACCTTTTTTACGTAGATATCTCTACATTATACTTTGAAGCAAAAAAAAAATGACCAAAAAAATTTGGGCCCAAAAATACCCAAGGCCGCCTTGTAATACAAATAAAAAATTTAATTTTTGTTTTCATTTTTAAATTCATGATAAAAAGTTAAGTAAGCATACTCTTTAAAAGTGAAACAGTGAAATTTTCAGTATTTCCGTCAGTGAGTTATTATTCCCTGTAAAAAAAGTGTTTTTCAATATAATTTAGTGAAATGTTAACTTCTCCAAATTAGTGTTTTTTATTATCACTACTTTTCCGGAATTCTCGACATAAAATAGTGAAATTTTAACTTTTTTGAACTAAACCTATTTCACTAATTTGTACAGTGTAATTTCCACTAAATAAATTATACAGACGCGTCTGTAGGAAATAAAGATAAAATTATTATAAAGTTTAGTAAAAATCGTTGCGACCCACTCACTACAATATGTTAATTTGATGTTTAAATTATTTAAAATTTACACTGATTTAAATAATTTAGAAATATCGGAAATTTTTAAATAATTTTTGAGGATATATAACACCGACAAATTTAAAATATCTGTTAAATGGAAAAAAAAATAAATAAAATTATTGAAAAAATAGTTAATGGGTTAATGTTAAATTATTTAAAATTAAAATATATTTTAAAAATTATTAAATTTTTTTGTACAATTTTAAACATACAATAATAATAATAATATATCAATTGCAAGAATTATTGAGATTAACAACAAACTCAATAAATTATCGGCCGACAAAACTATACTAGAATTTTTTTATCATAATTATGATAAATTTTAGCTTGCACAACGATGTAAATACATAAACCTAGTTTTTGAAGCTTTGTAAACATATCACCTTCGCTACTTCTTACTAAGGGGCCTGTCTATGGTGGCTTTAACACTAAATATGGAAATCATATTTTATCTCCGAAAAATAATTTACTTATGCGTGTTTGCAATGATGATCCAAATATAGAAAAACTTTAAGGAAAAATAAAATCAACATATTTTAGATGTTGGTAAGATATTAAGACAGATTACAATAAAAAATGTTTATTTCTTACTTTAGTTATCATAAGCCTATTGTTTCGTGCCTGGAGTGAAATATGACGAAAGTATATACAGGATAATAATAAATACAAATTAAATATTCAAAAGATAGTGTAGTTTCCAGTTTCCAAACCCCTTTCCTGTTATGATTGTGAATATTGCGGTTAATTTTTTTTAAACGTCACATGAAAAAGTAAATGGAATGAAATTGCTTATTTGTTTCATTTTTAGTCAGACTATACGCTAAAGAAATATCGGGTTTTCGCGTGAATTTAAGAATTGTCAACAATAAATAAGCACCGATTATACATCATTTTTAAATAAAGAGGTAGTTTTTTTTACAAAAGAGAGGAAGGCAGAAGTCTTACTAGACAAATTGTGTTCAATTGCACAGTTAAATCGCGCACCTTATTTGTGTTTTACGTTGCAAGGAAAAAACTTTTTTAGTAGGGGAGCGCCGGGAGGGTTTGGACACTGGGAGGCATTGGACACATTCATAATTACCGCCTAATTAAAGAAAGGGTGAAAACAGAAACGTAACTAAAAGCGCATTTGAACGTCCCTGATATCTGGCACTGCCATTTTCCTATTTATCCACGTGTTCATTCCAATATTACCAGTTGTAAACTCTGCTTTTAACAAACTAATTTTGACATTTTTTGGTTGCTTGATTGATTACCAGTATAAGGAAAACTTTAAAAAATATAGGGTATTGTTACTTTGAAAATGTATATACATAATTTATAATATTTTGGGTTTTATTAATCGAACTACGTTGCGGGAGGGTATGGACGACCGTCCAAAGAAGTCGTTGTAGATAGCTATAACGTGAAATTAAAAAAAAAAACAAGTGGCTTCCAACCACAGCATTTGTGTCATATGAGGAAGTGATTTTGAAACTATCAAATCCTTTAACAGACCGAAGTGTCAGATATGGACATGATATATTTTAATGTTGATGTTACCGAGTACAGCTTACGTTAATGCTGAAGTTATTGATTAATAAACAATTTTTTACTAAATATTTTATTTGTTTTTAAAGTGTTTTTTGTCAAACAAATGTTTTGCATAATATATTTGCTTAATTATTGTTTGTCCAAACCCTCCCCATCGTTGGGGAGGGTTTGGACATAATACATTAAAAAAATATAAGTATTTATTTCATGCCTATGTCATGTTTTTTCAAAAAAACAAAAGAAAACTGTATGTAAGAGACATGTATCAACCAGTCTGACTACAAAATTTTAGTTATTTTTTATACATGTCCACGCCATAATTATTTATTTAAATATTGTCCAAACCCTCCCGGCGCTCCCCAACTCTATTTCGATTGATTATTCCTTATATCATTGATTAAGAAACTCAACGCTTAAATGCTTATATAGTTACGTTAGTGTGTGTATTTTATCAAAGGGATCGGTAAATTATTGTGTTTTTAATTGTAAATAAAATTAAAGAACTAAATCGTTACATTTTCATGTTTTGCCAAAGGATCCAATTCGGTAAGTACATTTGTTGGTGCAGAATTAAGTAATGATAACTTTACCTAATATAATTTATATTTAAGTTTGGACATTTTTAAGAAATTAGTAAAAAATAATTTTTGATTAACATATCCTTAAAATCAATCATTTTTATATTTGAGTTCTGTAAAAAACGCGGACAACTGCATTTTAAACAACAAAATATACATACGAATTCATGGCAACATAATATTATATACATTATTATACATATACATATTATATACATAATATAATAGTATTTTACCGTTGAGTGAAGACTTTAAAGAATTCTTAATCAACGCTTTTAATAATGCTAAATGCTGTTTAAATTTAGACGACTTATTTGTTTGACGATTTTTACTGAATTGAAATGATTATACTTTTTACGTTAATTACTACTAAAATGTGTATTTATTGTATCTAATAGGTACAATTTATATTTACAGACTGTATGCAATTTATTTCTTCATTCATATTAACATTGTTTATTGGAAAACCGGTAAAAACTCAACCCAGGATTTACTCTCGAAATACACCCATCAACATATCAAATCGATCCACGGTTTTTTTTTTCGATATTTTTTAACATTATCCAGCTTTATTCTCAAAAATATTCGTTTGTAACCTAAGCGTTTGACAGCTGATTATTAAAAGTTCTACTTTTGTTACGATGATTACAGCCGAGTGGTGGCGCCACTAGCGATACTTCTTTAGCGTATTACAAAAGATATTTGTCACATGGGTCATGGGTCGGAGGGGGGGTCTTTACTTCAAATCTTATCACGTAGGAGGGGGTAAATTTTGACCATTTTAAGCGTCACGAAATTATGGATGAGACTAGTTTTTTTTGTTTTCTTACGGAATCCAAGGGTACTTAAGGATTTTCTTTTCTTATATAATTATATTTAGGAAAACTATGAAAAAACACCCAACGTTTATTTTTATTTCAAAATAAATTATCCTTTTAAAGTCTTTAATTGTAAACAGTGAAATTTATTACTGATATTACGAAATTTCAAATTTTAATGAGTAATAGGTACGCTTACTAAATTGGATTTAAAATTAAAATGGACCAACGTGCGGCGCCTTCCTCACTTTTTTATTTTATTTTAAAAAATTATATTTATTATAAAATAAAATTAAATAAATATTTCTTTAAATAAAGATAACCGTCTGACATATAATGCCTCCTTAAAGTTATATGTAGAGATGTAAAAAAACGGTTTTTTTTCAGATGTGAAAAAAAACCTAGAAAAAAAAAACGGTTTTTTTTCATTTTTTTTTTAAATGAAATTATGAGTAAAATGTATATTAATAATAAAGTGAAATGTAGGATGTATTCCATTTTTCATTATTGAAAATTTTGACCGAGACTTAAAAATCTGAATTCTTATTGTTTGGTAGTTTCCACATTAGACACCAATAGAAATTTCGCAAAATGTTGGTATCTTGCATTTCTGTTTTTGATAGGTTTAAATTGACTGGAGTGGAATTGTCAATTATATTAACTAGCATTTTTTTTCAAAAGATTACTACTCATAACCGTAACCTCTCTTTAAAAATGTACGAGTAAAGTACTAAAATTTTATGAATACTTTTATTAGTACTCGTGCCCAACTCTGGCTGTGGGTCCCTTAGAGCCTATGTGAAAAAAAACATGAAAAAAAAACGAAAAAAAAAATCTGATCTCTTATTGTTTGGTAGTTTCCACATTAGAAACCAATAGCAATGTAAAACTTCTACACTGATATAAAAAATTAAAGGATACAAAATTTTTTGAATTTGAAGCTTGAAGTTTCGAGTATTGAGATTTTTAGATGAAAAACGTGCAACGCTCAATCCTAACGAATACCGTAATAAAAAAATTCGAATTTTTTTTGGCTTTCTTTTTTGGTCCACGGAATGTTCTGACTTAACCACCAATGAATAAATATTCTACAAGAATTTGGTATTTTTTTTTACATTTCCATACTCTACATAAATTTGAAAAATCATGGTAGCTTTTTGAAAAATCAAGCGCTGAATCAAAAATATTATATGTACTTTACTTTTACTTTTTTTAGGACCAAATCAAAACAAGCGCGGCCCTTATTGGTCAATTCGGTGGTGGTGGCGCGTGCATAGTGCGAGACTGTATTTACATTTACTAATTGTCATTTAGTGGCTAATTTTAGTCCATGAACTAGACTGGACTGGACTGTAAACATAAAAAATTAGGCAAATGGGACTAATCTTGAAAAAAAACCTAAAATATAAAGAAAAAAAAACAGTGAAAAAAAACCTGAAAAAAAAAACAAAAAAAAACGGATCGTTTTTTTTCAAGTCGCATCTCTATTTATATGTAGTATTTTTTTATATCTTTTTCGTTACTGCTGTTACAAAGTTATATACCACTTTAATTCCAACGTAATATCAATACATATGTATATGTATTTCTGATATACATTTTAGGATGTAATATAGAATCTTTAAACTCTATAGGGTCCAATGCATATACAACTTTTTATCACCGAAAACTTAAAATGCGACATACAAAAGTGTTATTTTAGGATGTCGTAGGGTTAACATGTGTCATCATATTATTTATACCTCAAAATAAAACAGGATAAATTGAGCCAAAAGTGTTCCTATACCGGAAAATACTCCAATGTTAATGGAAAATGCAACTACATGTATAACAAAGGCCTTATTTAAAAATAAATCCTTAATAGATATAAAAAACTTTTTAGTCTCAAACTCTCTATCGATTTCTCGTTCTTTTGCCTGCGATATGCTTGGAGGCTTCTTGGGAAAGTTTGGAAAATCTAAAATCATATGCTATTTAAATTGTAGGCACATTACAGAATACCTTACATGCTATAACAGCTATTGATACTGGAATGCTACTACCAGCCAATATCCAACACAGCACCTTTAAATCAGATCCTATATCGTCAATGTTATCGTGGTTTCCTACTATTGCAGGAGGCAACAAATATCCAATTGATGTACCCAACTGCGTGCCAAATACCCCCAAAGCATTTGCTTTTGAAGCCTAGAAAAATGTTCTTTTATACAGTATGACCAAAAAATCTCTGCTATACTAAATCTTACAAAAAAGGTTTGATAGGCTAATCATCAATTTTAACATTTGCCCAAACAGCTTTTAAACAAAACAATAAGTTGGACGGACGAAATCAAAGAGAGTAAAATGCATTAATTTAATCTTTAAGAGGTCTTTTATTTAAACTTTATTATTGTCAAGACATACTACTAAAGTAATTGATTACAGTTGTTTACTTCCTAAGCTGTAAAAAACCCGTTTGGACAAATAAAAGTCTATAACTGTCAGATATACCTACCTAAACTCACTTTCTACTTTTATTAATTATTTTTATAATTCAAAAGCGGTCATCTCCTTTGAAAAATATTTTAAGTAAACGGCAAAAAACATTTTAAACAGTAATGGGTAAAAAATAAATATATTTTGAAAAACTAGTTCATATGGAAACTGAAAATATTTTTTCTACAAAATAAGTAACCAGATAAAAGATTTAATTAAAAAATATATATATTAAAATTAATTTTATATGTATAATTTAATATACTACGTAATATTTCGATTATATTGATGTAAATAACTTATTTTTTAAAGATTTTGGAGATGGCCGCTTTTAAAACTAGAAGACTCAATTGTACGTTCTATGTATGTATTGTTTAACAAATAAAATTGTGCCTTGAAGATGTATGCCATTCGGCTGAGAAGTGTATTTTTGTGCTTCGGTCAATTATGGGCCCCGCTACGCCTCGCCTTCAAACTTTGAGCTCATTAAATTTTAATTGGTCATAAATCAAAAATCATACCAAAATCACTGGTAGTTTTTTTTCATGTAATGGCGCGACTCCACTTAATTTTGGTATGAAAATTCACGTGGTCTTACGCATTTTGTAAAGTTGACTGACCTTTGGTCATTTCTTTCAATTTGATTTTTTGGCCCGAACCCTAGGCGTCAAAGTCGGCTTACATTAAATTGTGTTTAAATACATTTTTATTGTTTTTGCAATATTTATTCATTAGGGGGGTTCCATAAAGTACGGGACACGTTCAGGTATGGTCTGGATCGTGCGTTAAGCCACACCAAACAAATAAAAATATTTGAGTTCTGTAGAATCAAAAGCGGACTTGCTAAGCAAAAAGGTGGTAATTACTGTGTTACTTAATAAACTTAAGTAGTGGCGAATAACCAATGGGACTTATTGGTCAAATATTAAGACTTAGTAGTAACATAACAGGAGTCATCCGTTTAAAGATAAAGAAATTATTTCGAGTCTAAATTCTCGAGATTTTATTTTCCGATTTCCCGAGACCTTTAAAATTGGATGGAATTTTCGTGAATTTTCGTGTCAAGAATTCTATAATAGTTACTCAGCTCAGCTGATTGCTTTATCATTTCTGTGGGTAAAAGGTATAAGGGGATAAGTCAAAAGCATTTTTTTCAGTAGAACCAAACGTTTTCGCATTGATTCAGGAAATATGGTTGGTAATTTGACAAAACATCGTAAGCGACAAGTTTAACAGGAGAGATTTTTTTTGATTGGGAGCTTTATTTTTAAAGTTATTTATCTGAAAACTGGTGAGGCATTATTTTATTAATGTAGAATTCAAATATTTATGTAAGATCGAATCCAATCTAAAATTTTCATTAAATTTTGTTGCATACGATATTTTATAAGAACACCTTTAGGAAAATGTAAAATTAGTCTTGTCGCTTAAGTTACATTTACGTTACTTTGTGGGATATAGATTTTATGATTACTTTTATTAAAACATCGTTAGCGACATTTATTTTTTTACTTTTATTATTAAATCAAAAAAAATTAAAAAAAAAATAATTTATAAAATATTACCAACGATATTTTGCCAAACCATGTTTGATAATAAAATTCTACATTAGCAAAAACGAACGATTTTTATTCACAAATAAAATCTAACCCATGGGGCCTACACAAGGAGCCCGAACTCAATAGGGGAAATTGACAAAACCTAAATTGTACAAATTAAGTTTCATTTTTTCACCAACAGCGGCGCTGATTGTCGATGCTAGCGTTTCGGTACAAATTAAACAATTGTTTCAGAATAAACGGAACACCAGCGCCCTCTTATCTTAGGAAGATTCTTGTTTACATGATGTTCGGACTCCACACTACGTATAAAGTTTACTAAAAACAATTATAATTAGGATAACGATTCTGGTGTGATCTATATTTTTAAGCCTCAGTTTTTATTGTATGAATATTTTTTTTCTATTTAAAAAAGGTGCTTATATGTAAATAATAATATTTCATTTATTAATTTAAAATTAAGTTTTTGGAATAAAAATTAGACAAGATTTAAATCTGTAAGCGCAAGGCGAATTTTCTCGATGAAAAATTTGATGAATTAAAATGTTGGTTAACACTCGTAAACAGAATTTTAATTTGGCGCTAGTGCATAGTGCGGTTGTGTTACGTACTACTGCCACGAAGCGAAACTACATAACGTCGAAGGTACATAAGCTCGAAAATAAATTAGGCAACAGTGCAGTCCAAAATTTTCAGTGTTAACAATAATGTAATACATTAAATGTATATCGACATGATAATGAGTATTAAATTATGTAAGGGGTGCATTTCAACAAGACTGCCCAGCTGGCTAACCTCACTTTATACGAAATAATTTAGATATGGACTCTCCTAATAGACAATTTAATTGTGGTTCATTATTTGCTTAGTTGTCTATGCAATAGGATTTCTCGCAGAAGAAGATATTTATATAATTACCAGAATTGTCCTACTCGTTACCTGTCCGAGCCGACTACCTGAACACTGTTTAGTGAACAGTAATAAGCATAGCAAAAGAATATAAGACGTAATTGAAAATAATCCACAAACTTAACATGAATGTAATTAATGGTGGATTGAAAATATTGTATTGTATTTTATCTTTTAGTCAATAAAAACCAATATTTTGGTAAAAAGAATTTTCTTTATTTTTATTTCAATAAATTAGGTAAGAAATTAAGGAAAGCAAAACAGGTAAATAAATAAAATGGCAGCACTGAATTTGAATGCACCGTTGCCTAATTTATTTATTTATACCTTAGACGTTATGTGATTTCATTTGGTGGCTGTAGTACGTAACACAACCGCACTATGCACTAGCGCCAAATTAAAATTCTGTTAACCAAAATTTTAATTCAGCGAATTTTTCAGTCAGAAAATTCGAGGTACATAATATTTATTCCAAACAATAAAAATAAGGAATTATTATTTTGTCACATACAAGTAGCATTGAATTTATTATCTAAAAAATAATCGGATTAAAAGAAATATGGCAGAAAGATTCTTAAATGAAAATTCGTATTGCTAGATTTAAATAACATAATAATTAATAACAACTATACCACAACTTTATTCCTGTATAAAAATTCTTTCAAAGTGTTTTAAACAAAAAAATAATTCGCATTAAAAGTAAATATTAAAATTATAAAAAATAACAATAAAAATAAAATTGTATTCAATTTTTATTAGTCAAATAAAATTTTCAGTAATATTAAAAACATTTAAATATTAAAACAAATATCCTCCTGTAAATGGTATTTAACTGTTGGATGTAAATTAAATTAAATTAAATTAAATTTCGTGAAAAATATTTTTATGTCGAATAAGGAACTTTATCACTTTAATTTCTAACAGGTAAATTTTATGTCGACGAATAATAATTGCGACATAATGATAATTTCAGTATTACTTTTTCTTAAATAAATGTTGCGCACCTTGAATTCGATGAATTAAAATTTTGGTTCAATTTGACTGCGTGTTTCTTAAGTAGCGCCTTATTAAAATTATCTCAACCCAAATTTTAATTCATCGAATTTTTTAGTCAGAAAATACGCCATTCAGTTCCAGAATTAAATTTACTTTAATTCTTATTCTGTGCTTAAAATTGTGTACTTAATATACCAAGACATCATAAAATTTTTACTTTAAAATGTTCAGTCAATTTTTAAAAACGCAACTTGAATTAATATTTAGCTTTAATAAACATGACATTAAAAAGTAAAACGGCGTGCCATAGTTCTAGCCTATGCATCGAATAAATATTTTACTACAGCAAATATCAAGGATTTTTATTGGTGGCTATGCCTATGACTATAAATTTTGTTGTAGAAAAGTGTTAAAAATATTTACGATCTATTATTTGCCTTTAGCAATCAAAAATAATATTTTGTGTTAAACTTAACTTTGGTTACCCAAGAAAAAAATAATTTAAATGATTTTATTTTAAAATATTTAGTTTTAGGTTGGGTTTATTCTATGAGAATCTCATATCTGATATACAATAAAAATAAATTAATTCAACAACTAACTATTTAGTTAAGTTAAAATAAAAATAATTTAGTACACTCCTGATTTATATTTTCAAATTTGACAACAATATAATATATTATGACAGCAAAGTTGCCATGCAGGATGTTTGGATTGTTTTGCTGTAGTTTATGTCAAAAATGAAAATATGTTTTTTCAATATATGTTCACAACAGTCGGTTAAATAAACAGTTCTTTTTAATAATGGGTTAAATTTACCTCATTTGGTTTAAACCATATAGCAGCTATTTTTGGTGGCAAACAAAGAATAACAATTTGAGAAGCTGATACTATGGCTTGTCCTAACAAAACCAGCCAAAAAAGGTCCTTTTGTACTGAAAATATTTTAATGCAAGTGCCAAAAGCCGTTCCTAGACATCCTAGTAGACCAGCCGCTCGCAAACCCTGTTAAGAAAGTCATAAATATGTTTCTCTTTTTAAAAAATTTTAGGTTATTACCTTTTTATTAATAACATATGATGCAGGGATTACAAATATAGGATATAAAGCCATATAAATTATAGAGGTCCAATCGACAGTAATGGTTGAAACATTGTAATATTTGACTACAATGTTTGTAATACTGGAATACTCAACCCATTGTAAACCATTGATTGCAGAATACCATATAAATAGTGCTAAAATATACCATCTACGCTTGTATACTTGTATGTCATATTCTTTTAAATTATTAATCACTATTTTATTGTCAACATTTTTTTCACTAACATCCACTACACTTGACATTATGTTTGAAATTGAAAATTTTAACTAATGTTAATTTTAATTATTTATAATCTTTGCATTACGTTGAGGTTTAATTATTTTATAACTAGGTACAAAGTAATGTGTAAATAAATAAAGGGATATAAAACTTTATATTTGGAGCTCAAGCAAAGAACTACAACGTGGTTAAATATACAGGGTTGTCTACACTTTTTAGTTAATATTTTTAATGTCTTCAAATTAAATACGAAACTATTTATTATAAAAATGTAATTACATTAACAGCTTTATTTTTATCTTATTGGTATAGTACATAAAATCATATAACAATATGTATAAAACATATTTTTTATCTCTCTAATCTATAATCTATGCATATATTATAATTTTTATTTTAATATATGTAGGTAGTAAACTGGATCGAAAATGTTTTTTTTTTAATAATGGCAATTTTAAAGTTGATTTTCTCGCGAACCGTCAAACCGAATTTGGTAGTTTTTGTTTTAAATTGTAGATTTATTCTTTGGTTATGATGCCTTCATTAATAGTTATTTGTTTTACAAGTGTTGAAAAGCGACTTTTTCATGGGAGTTTTTAAGTTGCCCACGAGGCCGTTAGGCCGAGTGTGCATTAACACGAGCTTGAAGAAAGCTTTTTTCACAAGTATAACACAATGTTTTTTCTGCGACCCTTTTATTTTTTATTATTTTTAAATACAACACAAAATAACCTAAAAACTTTTTTGACAGCTGAATGTCAAACGATGCTTTCCGGTTCTTTTCACAAAGACCTGTCACTTTTCACACAGAAATGTCACTTTACTTTCGTGTTTTGCCTTGCCAATGAAAAGATTCATTTTCTAAGCAACGATGCCATTATGAAAAGTGACTTTTACATAGTGGTCATATGTACGGGGCGAAAGGGACAACATTCTCAGATAAAATTTCCTCGGTATATCGTACACTATTCATGGTATCTCCACGAAATTTGACTGTTGCAAGTAAATGTGACAACACTGTTGTTTTCTTGTGCCAAAGTTTACTGTATTTTGAATGGTTATATTAATTATTTAAGCAACAATTAATTGTAATGCTATATTCGTAAGTCTTAAAACCTTAAAATTTACAAACTTAGCACTTTTACTAACTCTGCTGGAATTATAATAACCTACAAACCACACGCCACTACAACACATAATCATCCGACGTTGCCAGACTGAAAATATGTCCCAAATTCGGTGTAGTTGTGGTTGCAATTTTTGTGATGAGGAGCACAAAACAGTTAACTGCTGTATTTGTTTAAAGAACTATAGACATAGCTGCGTTGATCTATCTTAGTCAGAAGTGCGTAAAATCAAATCCAAACAAGGCTTATCATGGACTTGCAAGGACTGCGGTGCCATTGGAAATGACATTAACAGTCTGAAAGCAGTTATAATAAGTCTGAAGAACGACTTCCAGGAAGTAAAAAACAAATGTACCTCTGAAAAGTTTTTGTTTGAAGATATTATTTATGAAATATCTGAAAGAGAGAAGCGTAAATCAAATATAATTCTGTATAAAGTAATCGAGAGCCAGTCACCTTCCAATTCTGATAAAATAAAAGATGATAAAGTTTATGTTAAATCTGTCCTCAAGGCCTTACCTGTAAACGTTGACATCAATGAAATTAAAATTTATCGTTTAGGTAGAGCTAATACTTCAGGTCCTAGACCCTTAAAACTTGAAATGGGAGATGTCAAAGTTGTCCATGATATTATTAAAAAAGCGCCAAATTTAAGAAATGATACTAATCTTAAAGACATTAGAATTTCTCTCGAGAAAAGAAACAATTGGATGACAGGGTCGATGCAGGCGAAATAAATATTAAAATCGCTTATGGGTAAAAATTTCTCAAGTGGGCCACCCAAAAACCCTTCAGTCAAATTTTTTGTTCAAAATATATTTTTTGGGTAAAGTTTAAGCACCTCCACCGATTTGCCCAAAAATTTGTCTAAAAAATTTTTTTTTGTCTCAAACATTAATGAACTAAGTTTTAAGACACTTTTTTTTTTTAAATTAATATCTCCTAAAGTAATGCATTGATTTTTAAAATTAAATTACCAATTAATTCAGATTTTAACGTAGTTTCGATAAAAAAAATTTATAACCTTCAAAATTTGCATGTTTATATATTTTTTAGGTTAATATTTATGAAAAATTGTAAAAAATTGTGTTCTTCATCGAAATTTGTAACGAAAAAAATAGTGTATATAAAAGAAACCTTATTAAATAGATTTGCGTTTAGAAAAAAAATGAATCTCTTCTAGAAATGGAGATATAAAAACATTTGTAAGGCGGCGCGCTGCACTGGCAAGCGCGATAAAACGGGTAGTCGCGCGGAGCGCGTTATATTCAAGCTTCGAAGTTCGTTGTTATTCAAAAATCGAAAAAACAAACGTGTTTATTAAAAAAACTCTTTATTTGTTAATTATTATTAATAATTTTTTTTTTGCATATACATTAGTTTACTTGCACAAGTATTTACTTCCTGATTGCACATGTTTTATATTCATTGGACGATGAAATTTTTCTGCACATGATATGTTTGCCGTCTTCACTTGGTTTAAAGCAATGATACTGGCGCGTATTTTTTATTGTAATTGCTTTCTTATAACGTGAAGTTAAAGCTTTATGCTCCCGATCGTGTTCGTTTTCTGTGCAAAAATCAAAAGAAACTTTCTCAAAAAAATTAATTGCCCAATTATAAAAAATCTTGGGCGTTAAAATTTGATTATATTCAGGTCGTTGCAAACTAACACGATAAGCATTTCTTTTTACTGTCGCGCCAATACCGTCACAGGCACTTTTTCCGTGGGATGTTGCAGAAAAATTCCATTCGACATTGATACCAGTAGATTTCATTAGAAATACAAGATTGAGAAAATTGAACTTATTTTTATATTGGGAACCGGAACCATCATTTTTTTCCCCATGAACTTCCTTTAAATAATTCAGCATCTTTTTATTGAATAAATTCACTGCCGTTGAATCGTGTTTCATACTTTCCGAAATAATTACGAAATTGTGATGAAGGGTTTCATTATTTTCTTTGTAATAAATTACATAGGGATGTATCGTAACTTGGTTGTTTGACCAATGAAAAGACTGAATTGCATCTTGAATAACAAAACTAAAATTTTCAGAAAAATCCTCCTTTCTCTTTTAAATTTATATAATTTCACTTTTTTGTACGCCCGTGAGCGTACAAAAAAGTACTTTTTTCTACGCCCGTGAGCGTACAAAAAAGTACTTTTTTCTACGCCCGTGAACGTACAAAAAAGTACTTTTATCTACTCCTACATTGACGAGCTGTGACTTTATGGCGTTTTATTGACGGGCTGAAGTTAACAACAGTGGCTTTTCGACATTTTACGCCACGGGCTGAAGTAAGCTTTATTATAAATTGGGAAAAAGTGAGGTTAAATTCGGGTGACAGTTGACAGATGTCAAAATTTTAACAAATAAAATTGGCTTTAAATTCTGTTTTGTGTTCGTCGTAGATAAAGTATAGTATGCAACTCGTTTATAAACTTCTCTAGACACTCGTTTTTATTAAACACTCGCTCGCAAGCTTCGCTCGTGCTTAATTAAACTCGTAACTAAAATGGCGTTTATAAAACTTGATACATAATATACTATTTTCTACGCTGCTATGGGCAACCATACGCCGTCTGTGAAATCAAACTTTGACATCATGAATTGAAGTTAACAAAGTTGACATTTTTTTACGTTTGCGGAAAAAATTATATATCCTACTTATAGGAACCGAAATAAATGTATTTAAGAATTGTTATTTAAGCTGTTATTTTACAGAAATAACTTACCCTTTTTCTTCCTTAAATAATTATTTACCAAAAACTTAATTGAACAATTGTATTTTAATAATTAAACACTTATCAATAACGACTTTACAACAACACTGTTACCCAGCAAATTATATTTTGACGAATAAATGACAGTTCGAGGGTTTAAGTTTAGGACGTCAAAGCCCACTACATATTAAGTATTAAACGTTTTTGACAGTTGTCAAATATCGCCTTTTGGTTTTGTGTCTAGATTTTGTTGAGTTAATTAAATCTAACATACCTACGCATCAAACAAAATGGGCGCGCTCCGCGCGGGTCGTCGCGGCGACCCGTTTTATCGCGCTCCGCCTTACAAATGTTTTTATATCTCCATTCCTAGAAGAGATTCATTTTTTTTCTAAACGCAAATCTATTTAATAAGGTTTCTTTTATATACACTATTTTTTTCGTTACAAATTTCGATGAAGAACACAATTTTTTACAATTTTTCATAAATATTAACCTAAAAAATATATAAACATGCAAATTTTAAAGGTTATAAATTTTTTTTATCGAAACTACTTTAAAATCTAAATTAATTGGTGATTTAATTTTAAAAATCAATGCATTACTTTAGGAGATATTAATTTATAAAAAAAAAGTGTCTTAAAACTTGGTTCATTAATGTTTGAGACAAAAAAAAAATTTTTTAGACAAATTTTTGGGCAAATCGGTGGAGGTGCTTAAACTTTACCCAAAAAATATATTTTGAACAAAAAATTTGACTGAAGGGTTTTTGGGTGGCCCACTTGAGAAATTTTTACCCTTATAGAAACGGCTTACCCACCATTGTTCAGAAGAAAAACTAGTTACGCCCAACAGAAGTTTCAATATATATTACCAGAATGTTCGTGGACTTAGAACTAAGGTTTTTGATGTTAATACTTTTGTTTCTGATGTAAATTTTGACTGTATTACTCTAACTGAAACTTGGTTGAATAATGATATTGAGAGCTGTGAATACTTTCCCAACTCCTATGTTGTATTCCGAACTGATCGTGATTATCTTTATACTGACACTACTAGGGGTGGGGGAGTGCTTTCAAATCAGATCTTAATGTTGTTCCTATAAAATTTGGTGTATTTAATAATTTGTCACCTATTATTGATATTTTGTGTTGCAAAATTGTTCTTTCCTCTTATAATATGTACTTATTTGTTGTTTATATGCCCCCTCAAACGAGTAGCACT